ATCACTACACTACCAATGGACTGGTAGAGTGCCAAATTTTTTAGCTTGTATAATTTATTAAGCTGCCTTAATACATAGCACATTATCCTACTGGCATAAAATTTTTTTAGCAGCTTCTAAAAGTCCCTGTTCATCATTAAAGAGTTTATGCTCTAGGTGACTGTGGCTTAAAATGTACATTAATACAGTTACTTAGAATAAAATAATGGACTGTGCCAGCACAGTGGCTACACTGACAGATATATTCTGTTTATATTCTACCTCATCTGTTTACATGGCATGATGCCCATTCATAAGTTAATCAAACCTTTCCTGAGAGAGGCTGCCAAAAAGACATTGTTTTGGAAGGACAACCAGCAAATTCTGGAAAGCACAGGCAAATAAAAAAGCTAATTTATATTAATATGTTGAATAGTAACAAAATGCCCGAACACTGTATAATAATTTTTGACAGAGAAATTTTTGACAAGAAAACTGTTGTGTAGTTTACATAATTTATTTAAGAATATTCATTTTTAAATTAAGATAATTAGTATAATAGTACAAATCAATCTCAGAATAAATCGTGTATCAAGTAGGAAACTAAAAATAATGTCATACAAATGAAATATTTAAATACCTCTCATCAATTTTCTCTCCCCTCTGTTATAAAAAGGCTTAATCAACAAGAAAAAATAAAAAGAAAAAACTGGCAAGATATTTCTTTTTTTTTCATTTTGGCAGAGAAAATTTTCCATGACTTTATGAGAGCTTTTCTCTTCCCATAGGAAAACATATGACTAAGCTGTATTTTCTTTTTAACTCACAAAAGGCATTACATCCTAAAATTTTATATTCTAAAGGGAGCAATGATTTTCTTTTTTCCTCTTTAATATTTTTGTGCAATTGTACTCTAACAGTTACTTCTGTAATTCTATTGTCTAATATCTATTTTTTTGATAGTATCATTTATCAGTTCTACTCTGTACTGAATGAGAATCTAATTCTTAAGCTCAAAGATGTCTAATGGCTACTAATCCTAAATAAATTTTATTTTATTTTAAATACAATAATTCTATTTTAAATATAAAGCAATAGAAATTTCTTAAAAATCTTAAAATATATTAAGCAACACACCTCATCATAAAATACTTCAACTTTACACATACAGAAATGTTTTCATATAATGTATTATCTTATGAATTATACCCATAGTATTTTATTCTATATTAATTGAAAGTTGTGACTATCATGTTTAACACCTCAGGTTTTGCTAATAACTAATTTTGTCTGGAGATGATGGATTTTGGAAAAGCTTCAGGAAAGCAATAATGTTTGCACTAGACCTTGAAAAACAAGTAGGCATTAAGCCAACTTGTATTGTATAGCACTGGTGTCTTAAATAGGAAGCACTTGGCACATCCCATTGCCAGCAGAATAAATGATTTATATGTAGTGCTCAGAAATTTAGAATATGAAAGATGCATCATGCTACAATATAAATTAAGGGAAAATTGCCTGAAGCCCTAATATTCTATGCTTTAATTTTAGACATTTCTTGGAAATACTTATTCTCAATTTAAATAGCCACATTACTATAATGTTCAAATTTAAGGAAGTCTAGTCTTTCTCTTTGATTCTCATGCATAAATACCACCAATGCAACTAAGACTTACTAACCTTTACTTGATGTTATCTATCTTACATTCATGGTAATGGAAGGGTGAATAAAATTTCCAGCAAAGATATCAAAATATTTTTATAATTTCTGAGTAAGTCACTTTCTAGTTAAATCACCAAATATTGGGATATGTCTGATGCTAAGGCCATAAATGCCCTTTTAAAAACTTAAAAATAATTTTAAAATATAATCGTTGTATTCATATGTGGCAAAATTCTAGTGACAGCAAATCACTAAAATGATATCTTTCATTAAGTGAGAAAAGAAATCAGAAGTGCACTTGTTAAAAGTGTCATTCTTCTGATCTCTGTTCATCAGATCTTATTATGACTAAAAAGATATCCGGTATTTGTCAAAAAAGTTTGATAGAAGTGAATAACTATTAGGTACAAAGACTTAAAAAAGGCAAATTTGAGCTTATTTATTTTAAGAGAAAAATCAAATAAGTACTAAAAATCGGCAAATAAAAATATCTCTATTAACTCAGTTATTTTTAACCACTTAGTGAAGAGTCCAGTTGTTCTGTTCAATTTTTCAGCATAAACCTGAATATTAATATCCAAAAGTTGAGGATATTTATCATACACCCAACTTTTCTGTAAATCCACCTTAAAAAAGAAATAAAAGTGCCACTTAGACAAACTTAAACAATTTAAATTAACATGCAATTTATAGTATATTAAATTATAGGACTGTCTTGTTAGCTTTAAAATAAGTTAATAATACATGCAAATATAAAAAGAGTAATGCTGTAATCAATTTATTAATGAGTTAACATATTTGTATAAAACATTATTATTTTCCAAAAAAAGTCAGAAGGTCTGCCCTCAATTTACCGTTTCCATCAGTGTCATTAAATAAATGCTTATATTGCTACCACTTATGTAAACACTGGATTTAACACATTTCTTGAGCGCTATATGAAATTATACATGTACATGTATGCAGTGTCAAGAGTTACTGCAGTGAGCAAAGTCTCTCATATTTCTTCATGCCCAGCATATTAATGTTCACATATGGAATATGAATTTACAAGTGTGGAATGTAATTTTAACTTACCTCTAATATAAGTAACTGAACTATTTAGTATAACTTAAGTTAACTAAAAAGATAATCTTTGAACTTTTAAATTAAGAAATCTTAGGCATCCAACTCAATGAATAAATGTAATAGGTGACATAGATAATAACATTATTTTTATACATTTTTACATTATAGTGTAACAGAGCTCAACAGCTACTGAAACAGATTTTGTTAACATTATCTAGATTTATCCTAGTGATGAATTAAGCTCTAATGAAAAAGCACCGGTAGGTACTAAGTCATATTGCATGTTAAGTGAGCAAGCTCGGATTTCACAAGTGTGAATATTTGCCTTAAAAATATTGAGATTTGGAAGACAGGCCCAGCCACATGGCTGAGTAGAACCTTTTAGCCATCATCTCCCTTTAAGAGAACCAAATTGAACAACCACCTACAGAAAACATCACCTTCATAAGAAGGTTAGCAATTATAGTACATACTTGTAACATCATAAGAAGGAAAGAGTCATAGATTCTGTATTAGCTTCATTTTGAATAGCCTAGGGAAGCTGAATGACTATTATAGAATATTACTACGATAAATTTTTAAAAACTCTCTATGTATTCTTTTAAAATTACCAATGTTGTTAATACCAGCGGTATCTCTCAAAGTTTTCAGTGTGTGTGTGTATATATATATATATATATATATATATATACAGATATAGATATATATAGATATTTATGTGTGTGCATGTTAGTGCACTTATAAATATCCAAATATAGTTACCCACAAACTTTAAAATATTTTACAAATTGGCATTCTATTATACACACTATTTTTCAACTTCCTTTTTTATTTACAGTCATACCGTGACTCTTCCTAAATTTAGCATATATTAATTTGTTTTGGCATTGAAATATATTTAATTATATAGCTCTTAAAAAATGGATAGTTATTAAAATACCAAAACAATAAAGAAAAATAACAAAAAGAGTCATCTCCTTATATGAACTATGTAGTAATTTGAATAACTCAAATACACAATGCTTTTAAGGGCATAATAAATTAGTCACTCTTGTAAATTTTTGGTAGAGATTTATACTTGTATAGCCATCAGACAAGACTATTTGATAATACCTACCAGAATTTAAAATAGACATATTCTTGACCTATCACCTCCAATTCAGAAGTTTTCCATTCAGCCACAATAATGTAAGTGCACTGAGATTGGTTATAATATGTCCACTTCATGTGGACTACAATTTTTCTGAATTGTATTCAATTCAGAAAAAAGTACCTTTTATAAATGAATGTTCAGGCAATATTATACTTAAGATTATTTTAAAAAGTGATATAGTTTTACTGTTAAAATAGTTTCTATTAGCAAGTCAAGAATATAGTTTTATTATTTTTTTATGATAGGAGAGCAGGAAGTGAAAAGTAAAACCAAACATAAATGCCAGTAGGATAGAGAAGGCATTTAGAGCAAATTAATTAGTCTGTGAAATTCCTGTATATTCTGATGACACAAACGATCATATAACTCCATGTCTTTTTTTTTTTTTTTTTTTTTNTTTTTTGGTCTCACCCTTATAGCTTCTACTTGTAGATAAAACAAAAACACAATCATCAGAAGGCTAAGGGTGTTGAGAATAAAATAGCTTACATAATTCTAAGGAAGGAGAATGGTGATTACATAGGCCGGAAGGTCAGGGAAATGGGGAGATAGAGGTCAAAGGGTACACAGTTTCCATTAAGAGGAAGATGTGTTTTGATTTTTTTTTGGGGGGGGGTTCTGTTTCATGGAATGGTGAGAGTAGTTAATAGAGTATTATGTATTTCAAATTTGGTAGGAGAGGAAATTTCAACTCTTCTCACTACAACATGTTACATATTTGAGGTAATGGATATGTGAACTAGGTGATTTAATTATTGCTCATTGTATTTAAATTATATTATTTTTTACCCTGCATATTTATGGCAATTATAAATTGTCAATTTATAATAAAAAATATTTTTTAAAAGATGTAATCAAAATTCTAAAAGAGGCTATAAGAAACTTGACAAGCTCATACTGATATTGTAAGGAAGAGCAGAGGGCCAAGAATACCCAAGAAGACAAATTAAAAAAAATAAATAAATAAGGCACAAAATAAAAATATTTGTCTTAAAAATATTCAGAGTTGGGAGAAAGAGGTAGAAGCAGATGGCCTAGCGGAACCTTCTAGCAATCATCTTGAGAGAATGTGTTCTCTTTCTGGGTCCACAAGGGGGAATAATTTTAAGAGCAAGAACTTCCCAGCAGGATGCACCCCTCCCATCTCTCTCTATCCAGGAAATTTAGTGGTCTCTATTTTAATTTTCGTGGGTACAGCAACAGTCAAAAGTCAATCACTCCAGCAGAAGTTCTAAGGAAATCCTTTCATTGGCCAGAGGTTTTGGAGAAGGTGGAGGCGTGCCTCCCAAGTTAAAAGTCCCCTTCATCCACAACCCTTTGGACTCCATGTGTGGATCCCTTTCCACACACCCTCTATCTCATGTGAAAGTTATTTCTCCTCTTCTCCTTTTTTTTTTTCTCTTTCTCTACTTAAAATCACTTCTCTGCAACACTGTTTGGGGTCTGGTATTTACTTTGTGAGTGAAACTGGTCCCCTCTCTCATTCTTGAGAGAGCAGGAGACCAAGAACCTTGGAGAAATGTCCTCTCAGGGGAGCTAAACATTCCCCTCAACCCTAACATTTTGGTGAGCCAGCCAGTAGGAGAAGACTTCTAACCATAAGTGAAATGGGCCCCATTCTGTCCTGTCGCTTTAAGAACACCAAGACAGTGGCGCTGAGCCTTGGAGGCACTGCCCAGCCCGTCCTACGCAGCATGGGCCAGCCAGAATTAAAAATGCAGTTTTTTTTTTTTTTTTTTTTTTTTCCTCCGAGCTCTCTCTCTGCTTTCCCTCTCTGTCTTTCCCTCTCCCTCTACCTCTCGGCTGTTTCTCTGGGCAAAGACCTGTGGGAGACAGAAAAGGCAAATGCTGTAGAACATGGCACAAGCCAGTGTGGCCGGGTGTTGGGCTTGCATGCAGGGCGGAGCGGACAAGCACTTCCCCCGGCCTTTCGCTCCTTGCTGGCTGGGAACGGGGACCATGGAGACTGGGGACCATGGAGACTGGGGCCCAGCCCGGCAGGTGGGCCTGGGTGCAAGCAGCAAGCTGCAGCTGCCAGCACTGTGTGCCAAAAGAAGGGCCACAGGGGTTGGTGTTTTCCGGCCAGGCATGAAGGCTCCAAATGCTGTTATTTCCCCAGACACACCTGCTGCCAGTGCTAAGCAGAGCAGCAGCGCTTAAGAAAGCAAAGTGGCAGAGGTGGGGCCTGCATGAAGCCGTGGAACCTAGCAGTTAAAAACTGCAGTCAGGGATGGAACAAGGGAACTTCCCCTGGGCATTCGCCTGCTGGCCATGGGTCCCCATGTGGGCAGCAGCTGGGGGAGTGGCCCAGGGTGCACACGTGGACTTGGCATCATAGCAGAAGGAAACGCTGCAAAGAGGCACAGCAAGACTTCCCCTCTGGCACATAGCAGGGCAGCGCAGAGGCCTGGCTTTTAAACTGATGGCAGCAAGCAGATTTTTATCTCCCTGTTGAGAGAGGGGAAGCAGCTTCTGGCCACCAGCTACGCCCGGCCTGCATTCTTTGAATTATATGTTCTAATGGCCCCTCACTGGAATTTTACCCTTCCAGGGCAGTTTTATAAATTGGCCTGTGTAAACTGGACTTTTGCTGGGGAACACTGGAACCCATCTCCTGAGCCTCACTGGCCTTATTGAGGCTCATTAGTATGATTACTACCCAACCCAATAGCCCCTTTCATTCCATGCCTCTATGGTAGTCACTGGAGGTCATGCAGACAGTGAGTGTGAGTGGTCCCGTGACACTGGTTGATCATGATTGGAATCCAGTACATGGGAAAGTCCCCCAAAAAAGATGGATCATGCAACTTGGGCACACAAAATTTTGGGGTACTGACTGAAAGACATTTCATTCAGTACCCATTTCACCTGGGGGATGCATTAGGTCAAAGCTGCTATAACATTTTAACTGGGGCTGCAGACATCCCTTGTGTTCGATTTCAGATAGGTGTTTCTATTCCCAAGCTCAAGTCCCCATTAAAATGTATCCTAGAAAAATTGGGACCGATTTGACACCGTTTTTAAAGAAGCAGCAGCTTATTTTTCTCTGCCAAACAGCGTGGCCAAATTACTGTCTCCTGAGTGGAAAACCTAACCCACAAAGGGAAGGGGAAAAAAAACAAGTTTCCCTTGAGTGATTGCGGCGTACTTTAAGGAAGTACACCCCCCGTCACCAGGCTCCATTGAGAATCAGCTAATACTAAAGGACAAGTTTATCACTCAGTCAGCAGCAGATATCAGGCAGAAGCTCCAGAAACTGGCTTTGGGGCCAGAAGAGAGTCTAGAATCATTACTGAACCAGGCAACCTTGGTGTTTTATAATAGACACCAGGAGGAACAGGCTGAAAGGAACAGGAGAGCTCAGAGAAAGGCTTCTGCCTTAGTCATGGCTTTCAGGCAAGCAGACCCCAGGGGCTCAAATGAGGGAAAGCCTCAGGTTGTCTGCCAGTCTGGCAAAGCTTGTTACCAGCGCAGTCTGAAGGGATATTTTATAAGAAATTTTCCCCAGAGGAATGGACCACCATCTTGTCCTTGCCCGCTGTGCCAAGGGGATCACTGGAAAGCACACTGTCCCAGGGGATGAAGGTTTCCAGGTCCTGCGGGGTCTGACCAGATGACCAAATGGCAGGACTGAAGGTGCCTGGAGCAAGTGCCAACACAAGCCATCACCCCCACAGAGCTCCAGGTAAAGCTGACCATAGAAGTCCAGGAAGTTCATCTTCTCTGGACACTGCATGGCCTCCTCTGTATTTCTTTCCTGCCCTGGACACTTGGTGCTTGTTAAATCTCTCCCCTCGGACTCTCCCTCTCTAGGCCATGGGAATGACAATTTTCAGTTATTCTGTCTACCCCAATGGCAGTTAAGGTGATGGGAATTGACTCATGGATTCATCACACCCGGCTGAAGCCTTGGACACCTCCTGAAGAATATTATAGACCCTCCACTCCACAGCCTGACTGAGAGACATTAGAAAAACTACATCTGCTTTTCCAACAAGATCCCCAGGGAAGTAATCATGCATAAGTCTAATTTATATCCTGGCATTAACAGGACTATAACCCTCAACTTCACTATGTCTTGAACTCCGATTATCCTTTTCATAGTGGGAAAGGAATCTGCCTCTTTTAGGAAAATGCTGCTACTTTCTAAACCTGTTAAGTGTTGCTTTAAACATGGTTAAAGAACTCAGGAATCAATCAAGGGCAGAGTTAAAGACCTTCAAGAACCTGGTTCTATTCTCTCCTAGGGTCATTTGTAAGCATTCTATATTTGTTGGCCTCTGGGCTTTTCATCTTTAACCACCTTGTCACATTCGTTACTTACAGAACCATAAGGTCACAAATAATCCTGCCGCTGGAACCCCAGATGTCCTTGGCTCGTGAGCTCTATCGTGGACCTCTAGATCAACCTACACCCCTGAAAGGCTCCCCTCTGGAGAAAACCTCAACTGCAGGGCCCCTTCTCTGCCCCATTTCAGCAGGAAGTAGTTGTAGAGCGATTGACGCCCATGTTCCATCAGAAGTTGAACTTTCCTGTTCAGAGGGGGGAATGAGGGGATGTATTCTCTTTCTGGGTCCACAAGGGGCAGAGTTTTAAGGGCAAGAACTTCCCAGCTCCATGCCCCCCTCCCATCTCGCTCCATTAGGGTGATTTAATGGTATCTGTTTTAAGTTTCGTGGGTGTGGGAAGAATCAAGTCAATCACTCCAACAGTTCTAAAGAACTCCATTCATTGGCCAGAGAGCTTGGAGAAGATGGGGTTTCCTCCTGGGTTAAAAGTCTCCTTCATCCACACCCCTTTGGACTCCATGTTTGGTCCCCTTTCCCCCCCACCCCTCCCCACACACACTCTCACACACACACACTCGCACACACACACACACACACTCTCTCTCTCTCTCTCTCTCTCTCTCTCTCTCTCTCGTGGAAGTTCTCTTTCTTCTCCTTTTTTTCTCTTGCTCTACCTAAATAAAATCACTTGTCTGCAACACTGTTTGAGGTCCAGTATTTACTTTGCAAGCACACCTGTTCCCCTCTCTCATTCTTGAGAGAGCAGGAGACCAAGAACCTTGGAGAAACTTCCTCTCAGGGGAGATAAGGGCTCCCCTGAACCCCAACAATCTTCCTGCAGGAACATCAAATTGAACCAACAATTATCTACTCAAGAAAGCACCTTCATAAGGACAAGAAATTCAGGTGATTATAGTACCTACTTTTAATATAATAACAAGTAGAGAGTCATTAAAGAGAATAGGAAAGACACTCTTACATTGCCTGCCCCATTTCTTCTCCAGCTAGTCTAGTATACACACAAAATCTGTATATTTAGGGGAAGCAGAGCAAAGGGAGTGTGGAACTTTGCACTGGAACTCAGTGTCTCCCTGTCACAGTGGAACACAACGAAGGTATAATACTGCTGGTGCTCATGGAAGGGGCATGTAGACCAGTGCTGGGCTAGAGGAGAATCCTCTGCTCCAGGGGAAGGAAACTAAATCCTGGCCAGCTTCACTATTGGCTGACTTAAATGATGAGGGCCTGAATTAATTCAAGTGGCAGTTGGGCCACAAGCCTGCAATTCTTGGGCAAGCCATGAGGCTGCCCTGGTCTCAGAGGCAGTGGACTTCAGATGAAACCCAGTGTGACACCAACTGCAGTGGCCATGGGAATGTGTGCACCACCTCTCCCCTAACTCCTGGCAGAGTACTCAGGGAATGAATTTCCACTTAGGGGAAGGGCAGAGAAGAGTACAGAAAACTTTGTTTTGCAACTTGGGTACCAGCTCAGACACAGCAAAATAAAGCACCAGGAAGATTCATAAAGCCCATGATTCCAGGATTTTTCTCCTGCACTGTGTTCCTAGACTCACTCTTAGCCAGAAGGCAATCCCTTATATAAGTATATATATCACAAGCCTAAGAGTTATTGGCATTTAAAAGGATGGAGAGTAGGGGTTGGAAGAGAGAGAAAAAAAGAGAGAGAGAGAAACATTGGGGTAGAAAACATATTCAAATAAATAATAACATAGAACTTTCCAAAAATAGAGCAATATGTGAATAGACAGGTACAAGAAGGTTAGAGAATATCAAGATGATTCAACCCAAATAAGACTACCTCATGATATATAATTACAAATGCTCAAAGGTCAAAGATAGAAAAGATTCTCAACAGTAGCAAGAGAAAAGAGGCAAGCAACATAAAAAGAGGCTCTAATACATCTGGCAGCAGACATAGCAGAAATTTTACTGGCAAGGAGGGAATGGGATGACATATTCAAGTGGGATCACACACACACACACACACACACACACACACACACACACACACACCCCTCTTCAACCTAAAATATTATGTCCAGCAAAATTACCCTTCAAACATAAATGAGAAATAATATTCTACTTGTTATTATAAGTATATACCAGATATACAAAAGATCAGGGAATTTATCACTACCAGAACTGTCTTACAAAGAAATGCTGAAAGGACTTCTTCAGTATGAAAGATGAAGAAATTATATGAATGAATAAAACTCACTGGTAAAAGTAAGTATATGGGCAAACCCAGAATACCCTAGCATCATAATTCCAGCAGGTAAACGACTCATATCCTTCGTGTGAAGACTAAAAGATAAGCCTATGCAAAAGGATAACTACAACAATTTGTAAAAGATAAATAGATTGAGTTGCAGTGGAGATGTTTTTAAAAATTTTCTTCTTGCTTTATTTTTCTTTTCTCTATGATTATATTTAAGTTATTAGTTTAAAATAATTAGTTATGTTATTGTAAGCATAATTGAAAACACAAAGCAAAAGCCCATAAAAAGTACCAAAAAATAAAGCCACAACTTATATAACCAGGTAAAATCACTTTTACACAAAGACGACAAGAAAAAAGAGAAAAAGGAAGAGTACCAATAAAACAACAAGAAAACAAATAACAAAATGACAACTGTAAGTCCTTACCTATCAAAAGTAACATGGCACATAAATGAAAAATATACTCCAATGAAAATACATAGAATGTGTGAATGAATTTTTAAAAAGACCCAACTATATTCTCCATATAAGAAAATTATTTTACCTATAGAGATACACAGAAACAGAAAACAAAGGGATAGAAAAAGATATTACATGAAAATACAAACAAGAAAAGCAAGAGTAGATATATTTTTTCAGAAAAAAATAGATTTTAGGACAATAACTGTAAAAAGAGGCAAAGAACATCCTTATATAATTATAAAGGGCTGAATTTGGCAAGAGGATATAAAAATTTTAAATATATATGCACTAGTGCTAAGTCATATAAATGTATAAAACAAATATTGGAGATAAAGAGAGATATAGACCCCAATACAATAGAGCTTGGGACTTCAAAATCCACCTGCATTTGACATATTACCTAGATAACAAATCAACAAATAGACATCAGACTTTATCTATACTATAAACCAAATGAACCTAATAGACATTTATAGAACATTTTATCCAAAAGCTGCAGAATACATATTCTTCTCTTCACACTTTCTTAAGGATAAGCCATATGTTAGGCCACAAAACAAGTCTAAAAACTTTCAAAAACATTGAAATTATATCAGGTAAGTTTTTGGACCAGAATGTAATAAAACTAATAATAGCAAGAGGAAGCTTGGAAACTATGAAAGCACATGGAATATAAACAATATGCTCCTGAATGACTGCGGGTTAATAAGAAATTAGGAAGAAATTTATTTTAAATATTAAAACAAATGAAAATGGAAACACAATGTACAAAACTTTATGGAACACAGCAAAACTAGTATTAAAGGGAAGTTTATAGGAATAAATTTCTATATCAAAAAAGAAAAAAAGCTTCAAATAACCTAATGATGTATCAAAAATGACTAGAAAAGAACTGTATCCCAAATTAGAGGAAAAGAATGCTTATCAGAGCAGAAATATACACTACTGAGATTAAAAAGAGATAAAAGTTTTTCTGAAAAGATACATGAAATTTACCTTTAGCCACACTAAGAAGAAAAGTGCAAGACCCAAACAAATAAAATCAGAGTCGAAAAAGGAGACCTCATAGCTGCTACAATAGAAATGCAAAGGATTATTAGAGACTATTATGAGCAATTATAAGCCAATATTTTTCAACCATACCAAGAATGAAATCCTGTAATTTGCAACAACATAAATGGAATTGGAGGACATAATATTAAGTGAAATAACCAGGCACACAGAGAGTAGTATTACATGTTCTCACTCATATGTGGAAAGTAAAAAGAACATGACTTCATACAGATAAAGAGTAAAATTACGGTTGACAGAGGCTGGGAAGAGTAGTGAGAAAGGAGGGATAAAGGGAAGATCTTTAATGGATACAAAAATACAGATAAAGGAATAAGATACTGTGTTTAGTAACACAATTGGGCAACTATAGTTAACAATATTTATTGTATAGTTCATAATAACTAGGGAAGTAGAATTGGATAAGTACTTGAGGTGATGGATATCCCAATTACCCTGATTTGATCATATACATTCTATATTTGTATCAAAATATCACATGTACTTTATACATACATATCTTTTATGAATCCATAAAAATAAAAATAAAGGTGGCAAAAAATGAGATTTATAATATGAACATATTAACTAACATGGTGTTGCAACAGCACAGGGATAGGACAACATTAAACCACTAAAAAAGCAAGGTGATCTCAAAATGGAGATATACATATGCACATTTGTTTTACTGTAGAGATGGCATTATAAATTACTGAGAAAAGCATGGCCTTTATACTAAATATTCTCAGGAAAGTTGTCTATATACAACAGAATAAAGAAACATCCCAATTGAACACTAACTGTAGAGCATTCACAAAAATTTACGCTATGTGGATAAAAAGTAAAAGGTCAAAATTATATATTTTAAGATGCAATTCAGATTAACATTAGGAGTTTAAGGATACAGCAAATATGGCACAAAATTTGCTAATGATGTTAAAAATATATCTTTGTCTATATTTAAACTAAGATGTTTGTATATCAAAATACACAAAATGAAAGAGAAAAGACTCACCAAACACTAGGAAAGCATATTTGCAATGGTAAGGGAAGAGTATCTAGAATATATCTGTCAATCAAAAAGCAAAATATAAAATAATAGTGATTATAAGTGGAAGGAGTCAAAAAGCAGCAATGCACAGAAAATCAATAAGTGACCTAAAACCATATGAGAAGTGTAAATGAATGTGGTGAGACCTAAAATTAGCAATATATACTTTCTTGACAGCTAGGAAAATCAAGAGGACTATGGCCTAATCACAATTTTCCCTCCCTACTCTGCCATCTTGTTCTCCTGGCCAAACAACCTTCATTATCAGTGGAACCAAGCCAAGTACTGCTTATCACTGAGTAGTGAGTTTCAGTTTCTCAGCACCCACTGGAAACAGGCAAACACACCAATCACATCCCCCACTGGGTCCAAGGGGCCCTTCGTCTTCTTGATATCACACAGTCAGCTTCCCACAGTTCCTGGTTTTTCACTCTTCTCAAGTACAACACCCATATGGCCCTGGGTGGCATGTGATGCCTTCTTCCATGGGCTGTGAATGTGTATAACTAATGAACTAATCTCAGTCTTGTTTGTCCAGTGTTTGGCAGCCCCATAACTCTCCCCAAGAGTATGTAAGACATGAAGGAAACAATGACATACAAAACTATAACAAACAGTATTTAAACTAAATTTTGGTCATCCTTGGAAAAGTCAAATGAGGTGGTT